GTGTGTAACCACCACTCCTTCACAGCGGATTTGACTGAACAGAGGTTATCGTCAACTGTTAGTGTTTTAACCTTCTTTGAATTAGCATTAACACAATAGCCATAGTAGCATCATATGGATTTAACAATAACAGAGCAATAGTTACGTTATGATGCAAACTGGTGGTTCTTACTGATATGAAATCATTTAAGAAAATAATACTGATTACAAAAGCCATTTAAGCCATTTGACCCATCTAGGTTATTTGGTAGATTAGAGACTACAAGGTACGTCAGGTATCAGCTTCAACAACATGGCTGGGTAGCTGGTTCCACACTCCTACCACCCTTTGTGTAAAGATATGACTCCTGTTCTGACTGGGGAATCTCATCATGCTGTGTCTTGAGAGAAACCAACAACTTGGCCTGGAGTCTGTGGGGGGGTTGCAGGTTCAAATTCCACATGGGGGTACAGCTCTTGCAAGGCGACCTGTTCTTCCACACTTCCCCACCCTTTGGGTATAGAAGAGCATTCTGTCCTGATTGGAGGTTGTCATCCAAGTCCAGTTTCACTGAGGATTGCTGGCTACACTTCCTAAATAAAGACACAGCTCAGGTCTGTCACTGTGTAAGTGTGCACAGCTGTCAGTAAAACTTTGCAAGTAAAATTCAGAATTGAAGTATGTAAGAATGAACATGATTTACATTTCCAGTTCTCGTCACCTATGACAGGTTTGGCAAAATCATTCAAATGTGGAAAAGCAGCCACTCACTACAGGGTATCCACAATGAGTCAGATCAAGGTTCATTCACTTATATTTAATGGGGGAACCACAATATTTTCATACTTTCCACACGAGTGCTTTAGAGTACAGAGAGCTGTTTGCAGAGAAACCCTGCAGCTATTTACATTAGACTTAGTGGATGAGCAAACTCACCACATGGGACAGCATAGCCCTCTCCCAGGAGGAACTACAGCAACTACACTGGCAAAATCACACCCTCCAGCTGCTTGACTTGGATCTCTGCGTACTACCAGTTTACTTACGGTATTGACATAGAGTCAGGGGGGGTGTACACCACTAAGTCTCTTGGTGTACATAAAATCAAATTTATAAATAAAATCAAGTAAATGAATGAACAAATAATTATTGCTTACACTTATAATATAGGTTCAAGTCCCACATAAAGGCACAGCTCTTGCAAGGTGGCCTTCACTGCAATCACCCTGGTAAAATGCCCAGCTGTAGAAATGGGTAAACAAGTAAGTCTCTTGGGATAAATAAAATCAGGCAAATAAATTAACAGTCAGAAAACATCTGAGTCAATGTGCAAAATGCATGCATTCCCCTACCCCTCTCGCAGCACATTAGGAAGGTTCGGAAGTGTGGTGTTAGACCAGTGCTGTGCCACGTTACCTGGTTCTCATTGATAACAACGAGTAATGGCCTCGTCTTCATCCTTCTTCTGCCTCCTGAGAAAGATCGTTGCTTACAAAGGGTTGTTGCAACGGCAGAGGATTATAGGATGTGATTTACCATCAATCGAAGAGATTCACAGCATCCTCTGTCGCAATAGAGCTCAATCCATCATTCAGGAACCCAACCCTCCCAGCCACAAACTGTTCTCCTCCCTGCGCTCTGGAATGCAGTACCACCCTATTAAAGCATGGACCACTGGGCTTAAGAACAGCTTCAACCTTAAAGAAGCGTGCGTCATTAACCGCATTCTCTCTGCACTCAGCACTTAGTGACCAGGATTTTAAGATTTTGTGTGTTTATTGTTCTGTAATACCTATTATACGTCGTTGTGCTATGTTGTGCATGATGATCAACTGTGACTGTCATTATTTATTTCTTAGGTGGGGAGCTGCGTCTGCATGCGTAGGCTGCAAAGGAACAAGTAATAGGTTTATTCCATGCTGAAAAAAAAGAAGAAAGAAAACACAACGTTTCATCCGAAGGCTCCACGGCCGAAACGTTGTGTTTTCTTCTTTTTACAGCATGGAATAAACCTATTAATTATTTATTTTTTGCTGTTCTGTAAGGGACTGTCTACATCATGTGGTGTGATCTGTTGTACTGTGTTTTCTGCTGTATCAGGCATTTCCAAAGAGAACACCACAGACAATAATCCCATAGAACATGGACATATGGCAGATTAACTCCTCTCCCTCTCTGGGTACTAGCAACAAAAGCTGACAGTTTTAGCAGGCAGGACTGAACAGTTATGCGAGACAGGCGAATTTCGCACGGCTTACAGAGCTGATCAAAAACACCAGCACAGCTGCCCTGCCTCCAGCGGAGTACATTTGAATTCCTGCCTTCCTGTGCCAATGTAAAAACTTTGCGAACGGCCCCTACAGATGTGCCCCAGGCTCTCTCAAGCTTGGAGAGAGGCAGGCCGATAGTGGAGAAATGAACATTATTCTGTCCAATGGGTTTTATTAGTCTTCTAAAACAGACAAGACTCGGAGAAAAACAAGAAAACCTGTGTAACAGCCTTCATATCAGAAAGATTTTAAAGGTATCACATAAATAAGAAAAGGATATGCAATATGCCTCTTTAACAGGAAGCATAAATCTCAAATGTTAAGACTGAAAAATCACTGGGTTTGCTTTCCTGGAAAAAGGTACACTTCATCAAGTAATTGCAACTCGTTGAGGTCAGGCGAGTGAGCCCAGGGAAAGTCGAACATTTTTTGTACTGACCATGTCTTAAATCAGCACAAGGCTGCTTCTCTTGTGCAAGCTTCAATTTAAGAATCAGCTGACTGTCTGGAGCCATTCCTCATACTTAATTAGGACCGGCAAGCCAGCAATCTGTAATCAGTGCTCACTGGCAAATTGCATGTTTTAAAGCTTGAAGCATCTGTGTCTCGATTCTGTGGAATGCAAGCTCGTGATTCTTTTAACACAGGTGGCAGCTCTGAAATACACAGCTCATTTTTAAAACAGACATATTGGACCCCGTTTCTGCACAATGGTTTTGTGCAATGGACATCAGAAATAAAAATGCACATTTTGACAGTACCAAACAACCTTCAGTTCAGCCTGATAGCTGAAGCTTTCAAGGCAAATATTAATAGCAAAGTCCCCCAAGTGTATGACATTCCACTTAATCTTTGGCAGTTTCTTAAGTGACCCATTTCAAATGAGAGAAAAGTGCCTAAAGTCACCACTAGATAAATAAACAATACAAAATAGAAAGGCCTACCCTTCATACAGAACAAAATACAATATATATACCAGTTAAATATATAAGTTATTAGTCCATCAACAATAATTTAGATACACAAGTGCACAAAAACCACGCAAAATCTCAGCTGAGCCCCTAAACACGAAAGGTAATTTTCCTTAGTTACTCAAGATAGACAATTTATCAAGCTAGTACTATAAAGCAAAGTACTATGCTGTAATGTGTATGAATAAATTGGTCTCAAGGCAAGATTTATGAATACTACTTTTGACTGACATGAAGGAATTGGTGCATTCACATAAGGAAATTACAGTATGTGTATGATTTTTAAAAGAAAGTTTTTTTTTTCCATAGCAGCATTAACTTTAGCCCTGTTCTGTTTTTCTTTATTATGATAATGGCAATTTTCCTGACCTTTGAACACCATTGTGATGTCACAATGTGATGTCACCATCCCCCCCCACCCCCATCTGCCTTTGTCAGAGAGTCCACAGAGATTTTAGCGCGGTTTTTTCACTATACTTACAGCAACGTGTTGGACAGGTACAAACCTTTTCCCCTTCAGGTAATTAAAAAATGCACATTTTGTTTCTTTTTTTAGAAAGTTCTGAATATAAACAATCAAGAGCAGACCCTTCAGCCTGTCTAGCCTATTCTCTACGCTTAATCTCAGTATTAATTTCTTTTCTTCAGGAATGTACAGTCCAACTATAATACAGTAACACAGTCCCTACGTAAAACCAAGCCTGTTTCTTTTCAAGCCTGTGTGTTCAACCAGTTGCAGGTATTAAGGATATCTATGTTCACAGGCAGGTCATAGCAATGGATCATCGATTGCTGACCAGCCTGTTTTGAGAAGCTGGTGGCAGAAAGCAGTGAGAGGCTTGTGGTTGCTGACAGTCTGTTGGGTGGCCAGGATTTCAATGCAATCAGCACAGCAATTCATTATTGGCATCTTAATCGCTTAATTGGCTCTGCCACAACAGATCGCCAAAACCACTGAAGGATGAAGTGGGGTGCAGGGGGAGGGAAGACTGGCGATGCTATGGAATAGAGGTTTTGGGGTCTCCGCGCTGCCCCACTCCTCCCCGATCCCGGCTCATCAGTAGTTGTTGTTGAGCTCGACGCGCGCCACCAGCGTGGACACCAGCTTCTCCAGCTGCTCCGCCCTCTGCTTGCCGGTCTGCAGCACCTCCTCGTGGTTGGCCCGCTCCTCGCTCTCGTAGTCCATCACCGCCTTGTTGGTGATGAGCGAGAGCCCCAAGACGCGCAGGCCGCAGTGCCGCGCCACGATCACCTCGTGCACAGTGCTCATGCCTGGGGGGCGGGGACAAGGGAAGGGGCGGGGACAAAGAAAGGGCGCGGTCAGAGCTGAGCATCCTTACAGGTCCACTGCAGGACAGGCTCCACCCATTCTGTCGCAAAAACAGATGTTTGAGCCTCAGTGTGCGCTCCGAGATCTAGTCCCTATGTCTATGGCGGCTAAGGGAAGATTCACTGAATGGTTTCAATACATCGCAAAGGAAAAACTGTACTGGCAGGCTGAACAGCCCCAAAGACATAAAAATGTATGTTTTACCAGGACCAAACAACATTCCGTTCAGCCCGATGGCAGAAGCTTTTAAGGCAAATATTAATAGCAAAGTCCCAAGTGCACGACTTTCCACTTAATCTTAAAAAAGGACGTATGAGTATTAATGTGTGCACTGAAACCCAGTCCCTGTGTATTTCTGTTAAGGGAAGATTCACTGAATGGTTTCAATGCATCAAAACGGAAACTGTGCTGACCGACTGAGCAGCCACAAAGAAAAGCATCCCATTAGGGGCACATCACGTTACTGATGGGTAATTACATTTAGGGTCATCATTAATCTTTGGAGTGATCAATGGAAAGACTGAAGAGTAAGGCTTCACTTTTATTAGAGTCATGGGATCTGGGCTCTGCATTCCTGGTCAAGCTGCGCTTCGTGTGAGTTATTCGTTAACAACAATTTGAGATTTACTATATTAATTCATTGGGCTAGTAGTCCTTTTCATTCAGAAAGGCTCCAAGACACATTTTTGGGTGATTTCCAAAACCTAGGCTACCTCTTCCGTACCGTATATGGGGGGATTGCTTAAGAGCAGTGGTTCTCAAAGTGTGCTCTGCGGACCACTGGTGGTCCGCAAGCGTGCGCCAAGTGGTCCGCGGACTGTCCTATTCATCTCTCTTAAAGCAAGTCTAAGCAGCTCCATTCTTCACATTAACTTTTTAAGTACTAAAAGCCTTTGCAAAATAAGGCATTTTGTTCATGCAAATATTAGCACTTTCATCAAATTTAGTTCAATATTAATTTTAGTACATGAACAGGCGATGATTTTTACAAGGTAAGAAGTGGACGTCGGCATAGGTGGTCCGCCGCATCTGTGACTTGGTTTAAGTGGTCCGCGGACCATAGAACTTCGAGAACCACTGCTTTAGAGCACAATGCTGTCCTTTGAGCTGTCATGACGCCCTCGTCCTGAGGTGTCTCGAGTGCCTGTCGAGAAACGATGGCACCCCTCCCTCCGGGTGAGCGTCCACAGAAAAAGAGAGGCTACTCACCAACGGCATCGGCCCCGAGGCGGTTCAGCATGCGGCACTCGGCGATGGTCTCGAAGGAGGGGCCCCCCAGCACGCAGTACACCCCCTCTTTCATGAAGTCGGAGTAGCCGAGCTCCGCGCCCACAACCTGCGCCGCCTTCAGGAGGTCCCGGTCATAGGCGTCCGACATGCAGGGGAAACGCACCCCGAACCTGGCAGGAGGAACCACAGGGGCCTTATACTCCACTATAACCCAGCGCGGCACGCGATAGAGGGCCCCATTCCCGCCCAACCAGCTCAAACCCCTCACGTCTCCCAGCTGCGCGCGGACTGCAGGACGGCAGAGGAACAGGCTTGTGTGTCGTTGGGGGGTCAAGAGGCATTTAGGGGCCAGAGCGGTGTCTAAAAATCCCGCAGTTTATTTAACAAGGGCACGCTGCAACGTTACGAGCACACAGCCTATCAGGCTGACGCCAAAACTCCTGCACAGAACTCTCTGCGCTATGGCAACCGTTGGAAACAAACTGAACCCCAAAACAAAGCAGCTGGACTATAGAGCTCAGTTTATGTTATGGCGAGAAGCACTTTCCTATGAGTGTCAGAGTGCCCAAACAGGATAAGTAGCAGAAGCTGAGCCTTCAAAAGCTTTCTTAGGCTAAACAGAAGAGCAGTTTCTGAGTATAGTTTCAGCCTGGAAAAGTAATTACACTCAAGCGATCTCTTGTACAGGCACAGTTTGAGACTGGGCAATGAATTATCGTGCTGTTTCCAGGGGGCTCGCATTCTTTTGCATTCTTTTGCTCTGTCCCTGGAGCGATTTCAGGCAAATTGCGCTCCATTTCTCTCTGCCACGTAGAAACACCTGCGGCCTCAGCACTGCCACAAGGCAAAAACAGCGACTTGGAACCCAAGGTGTGGTCAGGATCACGTCTCCGAGAGGGAGGGAGGCTGTGACATTACCCTCTCCCGTTGTTAAGACTGCCCATATTGTCTCCCTCTCTGTTCAGTTTGCAAAGGAACAGGTATAGGTTTATTCCATGCTGAAGGAGAAGAAAAGAAACACAACGTTTCGGCTGTGGAGCCTTCTTCAGTTGTGACACCTGAAGAAGGCTCCACAGCCGAAACGTTGTGTTTCTTCTCTTTTCAGCCTGGAATAAACCTTTACTTGTTCCTTTGCAGCCTGCGTGCGCTCACGCAGCTCCCTGAAGTTACAAACCGGCTGAGCAGCCGAGCTATCGGGACATCACCGCCCCAGAGCACAGGAATTAACCTCCCCCAGTCTTTGAAGTGCTCCTGTGACCCTCTACACTGAGAAATGCCAGCTCTGTTCTCAGGCCGATGAGCCGGGCAGAAGGCCGTACGAGGTCAGATCCTGCCGGCGGTTCCTCACCTCTCCTCGTTGGGTCCCACTAAGGGGTTGTTGCCGGCGAACCCCGGGAGGTTGAGGTGGTCCTTGATGAGCATGACGTCGCCCACCTTGTAGTCCTGGTTCAGGCCCCCGGCCGCGTTGGTGAGGATGACCGTCTGCACCCCGAGGAGCTTGAAGATGCGGATGGGGAAGGTGACCTGGGAGGGGAGAGGAGACGTTACTCTACGGCCGTTTACGCCAAGCTATAGGCTCTGGCGGCGTGGCCACCTAGTGGTGGTGGCAGTGATGACACAACCGTGTCACCCAGATGGACCGGACACTAGGATCCCGACAAACGGGAGAAATCCTGACTTAAAGGGTTTCCCATGACCGGCCCAAGCTTTTTGGGGGCCCTAGTCAAGATCTTGGAAAGGGGCCCCTTCATGATCACAACTTGCACAGACACTGCTACTATCAGCTCCCACCCCAAACTTTTTACCCAGCAGCATTCCTGTAACAGCAGTTGAAACCACACTGATACTCTCATCTGACAGTAAAGATGAGACAGTAAAATACACTACTGCACTTACATCCATAACTGATAATACTGAATTATCCAGTAATTTATAACTAACAAACAGCCTTGACTAGCACAAAAGCCACTAGAGGGACTTTTTTAGGCTCACATTTGAACATGTGTCATGTCATGTCATTTGCCAAACTGCTATATACCATACGGTTTCACATTAGGACCCAGGTGGGCACCCCATGTTGGTCCCACTAACACCTCTGCCAGCAGCAACCTAAGTTTTTCCCAGGAGTCTCTCATCCAGGTACTGGCCAGGCTCACACCTGCTGAGCTTCAGTGAGGCTGCCAGCTGAGAGCAGCAGAGTGATATGGCTGCCGACATTCAACCATGCCAATTAAAAACCATGTTGTGTTTCACATTGAGGGGGCCCCCTGGTGGCGCTGGGGCCCTAGGCAGTCTCCTAGTTGGCCCACGCCAAGCACCGGCCCTTCCCATGATCTTCGGGGTCAGCGGTACAAACAGCGACTGGTATACGCAGAGAATACGTCTCGGGGGGGGGGGGAGAAGCCGAAATTCGATCCCCAGACAAGAAAGGAGAGGGTCCTCACCTTCCAGATGGGGTATCCTTCGTACAGGTGGAACCTGCCCTGCATGCAGACGCATGGCTTGCCGTTCAGGGTCCCAAAAATGAGGCGTCCCGCATGCCCGTGAACTGCAAGGAGGGACACAGATCGATCAGGCAGTGCTTTTCACTCACAGAAAAAGTGTAGGAGTGTCAGTTGAGAGACAGCATTCACAAACACAATTTTGTTTCAGAACCTCTTGGACAAAAAAGCGATTTTCCCAGCCTGCTGACTGAACTGCTGACAGTTACTCCAGTGGGGAATTCCTGATATCAAGCTGAATGTCAAAATATGAACCACTACCGCGGACTGAAAAAAAAATCTAAGTTAAAAAACCACCTTCTGTTGCAGTATAGTGGTACAGAGCATCGTAAAAAGCCAGCAGAGATATTTCTAGGTCCTAGAAATGTGTGGAGTTCACATGTGGGGCACCAAACAACACTTCTTAGCATTAATTTGGCTGGCACTTTTACCCCAAGCGACAAACTCTTATTTCCTCATTCACACATGCTGTGTGAACAGGAGCAGAGTAAATCCAACA